TTGGAGGATATTTAAATGGACATGTTGGTAAAAAGGTAAATGATTTTAGAAGCATTCATGGTGGCTATGACTTTGGAGTGACTAATGAATATGGTAAGGCCATATTAGAATAGAGAGAGTCGTCTTAGATGGTTTGTTCACACAAAATGGCAGCCTTCCGATGACCCAATTAGGAAAGTAAATGTATTAGATTTGACTTATGTTACGAAAGATAGGGTAGACCTAAACAGACTTGGTTAGAAAATATTAGAAATGACCTTTCTTATTTAGATTTAATGAGAATTTAACTTTTAACAGGGCACAATGAAAATAAAGGATTCATATAATCGACCCCATATAGATGTGCTTGGAGTATCAAAGAGAAAAATTACTAATAGTTAAAATAGTTGGTAGTGAAATCAAAATGTGCAAGAAAATAATAAAAAATAAAAAGATTTGATTAAAAAATTAATTTTGTTGTAAAAATTATAATAATTGGAAAAGATATAAAGAGACCCGTAAGGAGTGTAAGAAAACAATTTACAATGCAAAGATTTTAGCTTTTAATGGCTCATATAATAGATTAGATACTAAGGATGGTGAAAGATATATGTATAAGTTAGCTAAATAAAAAGATAGTAGTAAGGATTTAGTTCAAGTGAAGTGCATTAAGGATGAAGATCCAAAAGTGCTTTTATTAGAAGAGGATACTCAACAAAGGTGGAAGAGATATTTTGCTAAACGCTTCAATAAAGATTATAAGAATGTGATTAGCGTTAGTCACCTTAGCGCCCTAAATGAAAATAAAGATTTGTATTATTATGCATATTAGTAAAACCAAAATTAAAGAGGTTTTAAAGAAAATGAAGTATGGAAAAGTTGTCGGACCTGATGATATTCCAATAGAGGTGTGCAAATGCTTAGGAGATGAAGGAATTTCTTGGGTTACTAAACATTTTAATATTATTTTTAAGACTAAAAAGATGTCAAATGCATGAAAAATGAGTGAGTTGATTCATATTTTTAAGAATAAAGGTGATGTACAAGATTGTGCGAATTATAAAAGAATTAAGTTAATGTGTCATACTTTCAAACTATGGGAGAGAGTTATGAAGCATACATTGCGGCGTGACACTAATGTTTCTCAAAATCAATTTGGCTTCATGCTAGGTAGGTCTACTATAGAAGTTATACATTTATTAAGAGGTTTGATGGAGAAGCATAGAGAGAATAAAAAGGATCTACATATGATTTTTATTGATTTAGATAAAGCATATGATAAAGTTCCAAGAGAAGTGCTATTGAGAATTCTACATAAGAAAGGGGTTAATAATGCTTATACTCAAATCATTAAGGATATGTATGCAGGAGTTGTTATTTGTGTTCAAACACAAGGTGGTTTGATAAAGTATTTTCCTCTTTCAGTTGGATTACATGAAGGATCAGCCTTAAGCCCATATCCTTTTGCTTTATTCATGGATTTTCTCACTAGATATTTCCATGAGGTTGTACCTTGTAAATGCTTTTTGCTGATGATATTCTTCTTGTTGATAAGACTAAAGAAGGGGTTGAAGGTAAACTTGAATTACGGAGATCAACCTTAGAGTCTAAAGGCTTTCATTTGAGCATATCTAAAACTGAAAATATATAGAGAGCAATTTTAGTAATAATAAATTTAGTGGGGGATTGTGACTTTGGGTGATCTAGTCATTAATAAGAGTATATGTCTTAGATATCTTAGATCTATTGTTTAGAGAGAGAGTGAAATAGATGGGGATATTATTGGCAGAATTCAAGTTGGATGGTTGAAGTGGAGGAATGCATCGGGTTACTTGTGTGATAGAAAAGTCCCTCTCAAACTTAAGAGAAAATTCTATAAGATTGTAGTGAGACCTGCAATGCTTTATGGTGCAGAATGTTGGCCATTAAAAGAGAAGCATAATATTAAGTTAAGTGTTGCAGACATGATACAAAATGAGCATTTACGTAAAACGATTGGACTAGCTCTAGTGGAAGAAAATATTAGAGAGAGTCGTCTTAGATGATTTGGTCACATAAAATAGTGGCCTTCCGAAGACCCGGTTAGAAAGAGATGTATTAGCTTTGATTTATGTTAAGAAAGAGGTAGATCTAAAAAGACTTGGTTATAAAATATTATAAATGATCATTCTTTAATTAGATTTAGATGAGAATTTAACTTTTAACATGACACAATAGAGAAAAAGAATTCATGTAGCTATTATTGTTGTAAATCTGAAACTTACACCTCAACTCATAGAAAGAAAATGTCTCAATAACAATTGCATAATTTATAACTTTCATCATAATAGATACTCTTTACATCAAGGATCAGCTTTAAGCCCATAAATTTTTTCTTTAGTCATGGATGTTCTCACTAAACAATTGCAAGAGGTTCTACCATGTCGTATGTTTTTGCTAATGATATTCTTCTTATTGATAAGACTAGAGAGGGAGTTGAAGGTAAACTTGAATAATAGAGGTCGGCCTTAGAATCTAAAGGTTTTTGTTTGAGTAGATCTAAAATCGAATGTATGGAGTGCAATTTTAGTAGTAAAAGATCCACTAGAGGGATTGTGACTTTGGACAATCAAGTCATTAATAAGAGTACACATTTTAGATATATTGGGTCAATTGTTCAAAGTGATGGAAGAATAGGAGGATATTATTAGTAGAATTTAAGTTGGATAGTTGAAGTGGAGGAATGCAATGGGCTCATTGTGTGATAGAAGCATAATATGAAGTTATGTGTTGCAAAGATGAGGATGCTCAGATGGATGAGTGCTTTACTCTTAGAGATAGGATACAAAATAAGCATATACGTGAAAAGGTTGGAGTAGCTCCTGTGAAAGATAAGATTAGAGAAAGTCGCCTTAGATGGTTTGGTCACATAAAAAAACGGTGGCCTTCCGATGACCCGGTTAGGAAAGTAGATGTATTGGATTTGGCTTATGTTAAGAAAGGTAGAGGTAGACCTAAAAAGGCTTGGTTAAAAAATATTAGAAATAACATTTCTTTATTTGATTTAAATAAGAATTTGACTCTTAACAATACACAATAGAGAAAAAGATTCATGTAGCCAACCCCACATAATTGGATAAAGGATTGATGTTGTTGTTGTTGTTGTATCATAATGGATACTCCAATATATGGTGTTTAACCTATTATAAAATAATTTCTACGTGTTTACCACAATAGTCTACAGTTTATATTTCCGATCAAACTACATCGAGTTTTGTTGTTCTCAATTCAGGTATTTAACAAAACTATAAAGAAATGGTAATTGCAATCATCATCATGGATGTGATGCTTGGGGAAGGTACTACAATAAAATTCCCTCAAGTTAGCATCAACATTGGTATTGCTTGAGTCAACCTCTTGTTCATCACCTTATAGAAAGTAGTGAAACTCATCCCCACCACGAAGGCTGTGATGTACAAGCTAGGGATCCTCTATAAACGCTATTACAATCCTAACTATTAAGGCACATCTTCCGATCAAAAAGAGGATACCTAATATAATCATTCCCAATGAGTTGAAGCATCAACTCGCTGACACTCACAATCTTATTCTTATTGAGGTCTCCCTCATAAGGGTTTCAATTTTTCCAAGAATATTCATTATTGCAGTCCCACTGAAAAGAAGAGGGCCAATGGGCCAAAGATTAAGTAAAGAATCATTGAACCATCTGATTATCTACCAGCATATTCTAATATCATCTCACAGCTTCCCTTCGCCCTAAGAAGATACGACATGGAACCATCTTTCTTAGTATCTAGTTGTACAGGAGAACCCAAAGAAAAGCAAATGTCGAAGTATGTGCAAAGCATCTTGAGCTCAATGCGCAAGCTCAAAAGCAATTGCTCAACATAAAAGCTAATATCCTTATTGATAATAACTTTAAAATGCAATGGTGGGTTAAAAGGAATAGTCCAAGGGTTGAAATCAATGGTGCCTCATCAACCTCCTAAAAGCATCCCACAAGCAAGAGGAACACATATCATCTTGCATTTATAAATTCCTTAAGAGTCTTCAAGAAACAAGGACTACAAAGAAAGTCGTAGAAGTTAGTAACCAAAAGTCCAAAACCATTGCCCCAATAACCACTGACCTCTAGGACGATTAGTATCTAGGAGAGTCCCAAGTAAAAGCTCTAAAAAGGAAAATAGTAATTAAAAAACCTTCTGAAAAGTTAATGCAATCTAACATTCCACTCCTTTCATAGATTTATGAATCAAGAAATCACAAACCAAAAAATAATAATGTCCACAAATAATGTCTCAAAGATTATTTTATCAATTTTTTCAATTTACTCATCAGCTGAAACAGACATTATTTCCCTAAGTTCTGCTCAGAAATAGATTTCATTTCTGCTAGAAGTTTGTGGTTCATATATGATATCATGATCAATTTTGATTTGAGATTCAAATGATGACACTTGTTCAAGCCAAGGTTTAGATTCATAACATGTTCTAATTTATGTACAAATTAAAATTAAACAAAATATGATAAAGATTTACATTGCAACTTTAAATCTACTTCACCAATTAATTCCTTATCAAAAGAATTCATGAACAACAATTTCACCAATAAGATCAAACTTGATCAAGCATGATTTGTGAATTGTTGTATATTATTTAGTAGGCTTTAGATGAAAATTTACTGCATTTTTCTTAGCAATGTAAAGCATTGTTTTCATTATTCTAATTGGACAATTACAGTATTCCTCTATGGCCAAGCTCCTAAGTTATAATTGTTTTTTTGGTTACCACAATTAATGAGTGCTTCATTGATTAAAGTTGTGATTAAAGGAGCATCATGGCATGCTAAGCTCAACAAGTTTAATTGTTTTGCTAATTTATTAAAAAAACATTCTAATAATGCGAAGACCACACAAGCATGGCTTTAATTTCTCAATGGACAAAGATAATGCAAATATATGGAATAAAAGTTCAAAAATCAGGGAGGTATAAAAGTTAAAAAAAAAAAAACATAAAAATTACCTTGTAGAATTAGGGGAAAAACAAACAATGAAAAGCTCCTCAAGCGCATCTCTAAGGACTTGAAAACTAGGTGACCGAGACACAAGGCATATACATTTATCAGCGAAGTAATTTGTTGGTATCCTATATGCGAGAGTGACATCTTCGCAAACTGGGTCTCGAAATGCGATGCAACTGACATAAATTTTTGAACCATCGCCCTCTGCATATAGTTGTACTTGATATTTCAAAAACAATGATAAATGTATAGTATCAAAATGTATTAAGGAAGCATCCATCATGGTCAGAATATCAAGAAAGCATTTCAGAATGAGAATTCCAACATTCAACTGATATTTACTTTGCATTTCTCCAAAGAATCATTCAAAAATGACCCAGCGTATTTAATTGAATTCAATACTTAAGAAAACAGTAATAAGAGTATAAGGAACAATGTGTTAAACCTTCACATGGTCAAAAAAAAAAAGCATTTTAGAATAAGAATCCCAATATCAACTCGACATTTATTTTGCATCTCCAAAAAAAATGATTTAATGCTGAAGAACTTGATTATAATAGAAAAGGCAGCCGTATCATAGTGTTCCAGTACAAAGAAGGTTTTAGAAAAGAACAAGAATAAGCTCCAACTTCAGGAAGGGATGTGCGAAATTCTAAATGAATGTGAGAAACTTTGAGGCTTAATATTGGGTTTGAGAACTCAATCTGACAAACTCAAATTACTTAGATGGGAGTTTGCCCACAACAAGATGTATTGAAAAAGGCCTAACTCTCTATAACGTGAGATCAGGCATTGTAGCATAGGCTCAGAGCCTTCAATGTAGGACAGGAGAATTAATGGAGGAAATGGTTTTTAAAGTCCAACAACTCAAAACAAAAAGATGACCTTTTTGTTGACTACAATCAAACAGATGTGTACAAAACATTTCGTGAAATAGAGGTGCTAATATTCTGCGTGGACAAAAAAACTAAAAAGGTGTTAACAAAACATAAGCTCCACATGCACTAATCGAATTCTAACAGAGTTGTAAACCATTTTTCCCCGCCTTTGAATATGAACATGTTCAGAATGTAAAGGGTCAATAAAACATGTTGATTGAGCCATACAAATCAGCTTAAGATGTAAGTTTTTTATAAGTTGAGTTAATGACCAACTGCAGAGCAATTCAATGCGTAATCATGAATGAAATAAGTGATCTTATTCAAAGCATTTTTCAATCCACCAAAATTAAAGAAAAAAAATTCCCCATGACCAGTTAGGTGAGTAGATGTATTAGATTTGGCTTATGATAAAGAAGGTAGAGATAGACCTAAAAAAATTTGGTTGAAAATATTAAAAATTATTTTTTTCTTAGATTTAAATGAGAATTTGAAGGTAAACTTGAATTATGGAGGTCAACCTTAAAGTCTAAAGGTTTTCACTTGAATAGATCTAAAACGAAATATATGGAGTGTAATTTTAGTAGTAATAGACCTAATAAAGGGATTGTGACTTTGGGCGATCAAGTCATTAATAAGAATACACGTTTTAGATATCTTAGATCTATTGTTCCGAGTGATGGTGAAATAGATTGGGATATTATCAGCAGAATTCAAGTTGGATGGTTGAAGTGGATGAATGCATCGGGCTTGTTGTGTGATACAAAAGTACCCCTCAAACTTAAGGGAAAATTCTATAAGATGGTAGTGAGGCCTGCAATGCTTTATGGTGCTGAATGTTGGTCATTAAAAGAGCAGAATAATACTAAGTTAAGTGTGGCAGAGATGAGGATGCTCAGGTTGGATGAGTGGTTTTACCCTTAGAGATAGAATACGAAATGAGCATATACGTGAAAAGGTTGGAGTAGCTCCAGTAGAAGATAAGATTAGAGAGAGTCGCCTTAGATGGTTTGGTCACATAAAACGGCGGCCTTCCAATAACCCGGTTAGGAGAGTAGAGGTCTTAGATTTGACTTATGTTAAGAAAGGTAGAGGCAGACCTAAAAAGACTTGGTTAGAAAATATTACGAATGACCTTTCTTATTAGATTTAAACAAGAATTTGACTTTTAATAGGACATAATGGAGAAAAAGGATTCATGAAGCCGACCACACGTAGTGGGATAAAGGTTTGATGTCGTTGTTGTATTTAAATGAGAATTTGACTCTTAACCGAACACAATGGAGAAAAAGGCTTCATGTAGCCAAACCCACGTAGCGGGATAAAGGATTGATGTGGTTGTTGTTGTTCTTTTTTTTTGTGACAGTGGATAAAGTTAAGGTAATTAGTTATTTTACATATGACACAAAAGATCCCAGAGTTTATTCTGGCACTTGCAGAATTTCAGTCGTTCAAAGACAAGTTAAAAGAAACAAAGCGGATTGATTGAGTTCAGAGCATCAAGGACTCAACGGGGAAGGCTTCTCAACCCATGCACATGAAAGGTCAAAACAGGCTAGTCTGGATAAAATCAAAGGATTTTCAACTTGATCATATTACCAAAAAGACTTAACTTGTCTTGAACTTGAAGATGCTTTTTTAGCACATGAAGCAGCAAACTATGGAATTATCATAAACCCGATAACTCAATGAAATTTCCAAGTCATCAAACGCAGCAACACAAAATAGAGAGTTAAGAAGTAGAGGGTGACAACGATAAAAGTTAGGCTTCGTTTGGAACGGCTTTCTTACCACTTTTTAAAGCAGCTTTTTAGTAAAAAAATTTAATGTTTGTACTAGAATGATGCTTTAAGAAGTGGTAAGAAAGCCATCCAAGCAAAGCCTTAGTGTATATGGTATTTTTCAATTGTGAATGCTAGTTATAACTAAAATTATAAATGAGCACAATAGGACTTACATGTTACGTATTTGGGAAAAATGAGATATGCATATCAGAAATATGTGTACATGTGCAGGAGCCAAATAGTATTCAAGCTTACATGGAAATTAATTATAGCTTGAATTATAAAGTTACAGATAATAGAAAATAAATGTTTAAAATATTATATTCCAGCAATTACTAGTCAGAACAATAGGATAGTTGTGTGCATACATTAAGCATCATCAGGGTCAATCAGAAGGCCAAGCCAATTAAGCAAATATACTCCTTCATTTCCATATGTAACTGTGGGCCATCTTAAATAAAGAGGAACGAGAGCATCTGAAGTACAAGACATATATCAACATTATTTTAGATTATGCTAAATTTCTATAATTATTAGAATTTATTTTAGTTTTGAATGCATTTAAAGTTTAGAATTATCTTTAAGTTAAATTAGACGATATAAATTCTAGGAGTTCTCTAAATTTTATTAAATTAATATAATTTATCTTCTCACCTTATTTCTATAAATAAATATTTAAAGGCTATCATTTTGGGAAGGAAAAGCTTGAATTTTATTAAGCAATCTACTCCCTATTTATAGATCTATACAAGGTATATCAATAAGGAAACAAATAACTCTTATAATAATATGAATATAATTATTCCTAAATCAATGGGAGGAATTAATGCAATCCTTGTAGTCCTCCCACGGATTACTGTTCACAGCCGTGGATGTCTTCGGGATCGTAAGGTTGAGATTTAACACATCTAATCATGACAAATAGTATCATAGTTGTTATCCTCATTAATATGATGAATACAATAAGTTATATTTCAAAAATGATTATGATTCTTATCATCATCAATAGCAAAAGAGTCATTAATCATTTTCTAGAATTAATAATGTTGATGCTTATGATCATGCCTAACCAACCCATTCTAATCGATCATCTAATACATCCCATGAGTTGGCCTTTTACAAATTATGGATGAATAATCTCAATAAAAGTCATTATAATCAATATGGATTATTCAAACACTTCAAAATTGATCATCCTATCCATCCAAGGCCAAATCATATTGAGCAAACATATTAAGCGCCAATTTTTTTAACTCCATTGATTTAAAAATTTGTGTTAAATCCAAAAATTCAAGAACCCTTATCACCTCCAGTAGTTCAAAAACCCAATCCACGTGCTAAGTTAGTCTATGAGGATTGAAATTCTAATTTTGATTCTACAAATGAATTTAATGATGATAATTAGTCATCCGTAATCAAGCCTCTTATTGCTACTCCTAAATTTAAATTTGCGATTGTGTTCAAGTCTATTACTAAAGATGAATATATCTTCCAATATTTCCTATTGTTGGGATAAAGAAAAAGATTGAACCACTAGTTTCTACGTTCCTGGAAAATTCTTTTCTAGATAAACAAGTTGTTTCAAAAAATGTTAATTGTTTTTTTACCAAAAACATAAGTTTGATTTATCATAATTATCAATGCCATGTGACAACAGGATCTTCATTATTGATATTATTCTATAAAAGATATATAATGCATGACGATGTCTAAATCCAAAGCTTCTAGATTCTATTATGTTCATATTTAAAATACCGATGATACAAGAGATGTTCATGACTGAAGCAAACAAAAATTAGGAGAAAGCTTAATTTTTGCAAGCAATAGGAACTCTTCTTAGGATAATAAGAAAATACACGAAAAAAACACAAAATACAACTTTTTATGATAAAAGACACAACTTTTGATGCTTACAAACAAACATAAACAAAACCTAAAGTTGCTTGCCAATCTTCGAGAAGAAAGATACAGGGGGGGTGGTCACTAGGAAGTGTTTTCTTTTTCCAAGCTCTGATATCAATTTTGATGCAGGCAAACTAGAAAGAAAGAGCCAATAGAGGAGAACACTAGGACAACTAGGAACAAACTCAATTCAATCTAGAAAGCCGATATCCAAACAAAACACCAAAACAATCCAAAGTCGAACAATCAAAACAAAACTTTAAAATAAAAATACTATCCTCAGAACAACCGGCATGCAGTTTCCTCACATGCAACGAAAAATAGGTAAAATAAGATAAGTGCTTAGGGCTTGAAAACCAAGGGTCCACCATAGCAATAAGGTCCAACGTCCAACCAAACTCCTCCAGCAAATGTCACCAAATCAGCCAACAAACACCTTCCAAAAGCTCAAGAAGAATGATACTAGTGGAGTGGAACTTGCGTAGAGAAGAAAGAGATAACAAACCGAGACGAAAGGGAGGAGAAGCTCGCAAGCTTTCCTAGAGGAAGAGGAAGACTGGAACAAGCTTGAAAGGTTTTCCAAAGAAGGAAGAAAAACCTTCAGATTTTTAGTTCCAAAAATACCATTATAAAACATCCTTTAAAACAACCACAAACATTTCCTATATATAGGTAAAGAAAGGGGAGCCAAACAGCCACCAAAAAAGAGCCCAAAGGACAACTTCAGCCTCCCAAAATAGCCAACCAGCATTCAGTACAAAAACAGAACCTGAAAAGGCCAGAATTAATTCCACAACAGCACCTGAACAGTCACACAGAAACCAGAGAAAAGCAGCCACGGGACAACCAACCAAGGGAGGAACCGAAGAGGCAACACAGGGAACCTGGAAAGCAGCCAGGGGAGAAACTAAAGGGGCACAAAGAGGACTGGAACCAGCACCCACCAAAGGAGAAAAAGAAGCCACAGAAACAGCACATGAAGAAATCGAGGAGACACAAAGAAGGGGAAAAGGCAAGGAACCAACTCCACGTAATGAGCTAACATAAAGAATACATTTTCATATTAATGAGCTAAACTTTAGCTCAAGCAATAAAGAGCTAGAACTAAGTAGCTCCCAAGAATTTAGCTCAAAACCAAAGCAGCCATGACCCAACCCGAGAGGCAACCAGCAGCCCAAAGACCAAAAGAACCCAAGATGTTTAGACCCCTCCCCCCCTTGCCTACATCAATGACCCACTTTTTTTATTTCCTTTATCCTCCATGGAAAACAAATTTTCGAGAAAGAGCTTTTTGCATGACTCTTTATAAAAAGAATTCTATTAGCCCTAAAGGATTTGATGAAGTACAAGAAATGGATCAAGATTACTCTAGATTACACTTTAATTTTAGATTTTATTGTAGCTTAAATGTGTTTACCATTTAGGTTTACCTTTATTTTAAATCAAATAATAGAAATTTTAGAAGTTATTTAAATTTGAATATAAATTAATTTAATTTTTATATTGTAACCCTATTTCTACAAATAGAGATTTAATATAGATTATGAATTATCAATTCAATTTGAAATCAAGATTCCTCACACTTCTTCCACTATCCTCCTCTCTATTTTTCAACCCATCTTGTATTGTGAATTTGTTATCCCCCCTACCATATTAGGGCTCTCTTTCCTTATCATGTTCTCTCTCCATACGATTATTTCTCTTTTATTATATTACACAATTCGCATGGACCCTCATCATAGGGTTACACAAGTTTTAAGAAAATCACATTCCCATGTTCTAAAAATGTCAATTATTTTAAGATTGAAATCAAGGAAGAATCGAGTAACTTCAAAGCAAATTTATAGGGAGAAAGAAGGAAGAAGATCAATCAAGCTGATTATCATCAAATTCCATCAAACCAATTCTCTTTTACATCATCAATAACTCCAAGAGGTAGCTTCTCCTGGATATAGGTGGCTGCATAAACAGGCCAATCTTTATCAAATCATTATAATGCATTGTCTTTTTGTTATACTACAAAATAGCAGATCTTGTCAGGAATTTGAAGATACTTTATGAGGGTGTGACAGGAAACTAAATCCTAGTAAGCCGTTCAAAGCTCCATAATAACATCCATTTAGGGATAGCAAAAACATAAAACTAAATAGAGGGCCTTTATGATAACAATCATTAATCAAATAAGTATCCCTCTTATGATCGCTATTATGCCTAAACAAATAAATGATGCATAATAAATCTTACCTACTAGTATTTGAAAAAGTTATATATATACCCAGCAACACTTGCACAAAATGAGCTATAAAATAATATATATAATATATTATAAAAGCTTAGAGAAGCATTAAATAAAGCTAATTAAGTCATTTGAAAAACAAATAAATGATGCAAATCGAACATTTATGTGTAGGCGTTGAAATAAGCAAATTGAAATTATGAATTTTGATTTTACTTTAGATATTTTAATTTTATAGTTTTCGCATTTTATATTAATTTATTTTTGTGTAATAACCTATCAAATCACTATAGAGATATAAATTGTGTTACCCTCCCTGGTGCAATTTATAGCTTTATCTCAGTTGGTTCAGCTACCGTAATTATTGTTCTGGACCCATTTGTTGTAGGTATTTCAATTGGGCTTGCGTTGTGGTTGGACCTCACAATTACACCAGCTAGTTCTCAATGGCTTCCGTGTAGGCTTCTTCACTCCTTACCCACATACTAATCACTTACCTTATCTATGAGCCATTACTTCTGGCTGTTTCAACGCTTGAGGTTGTGGTTTCATGGGACCCCAAGAACTGTACTGCTTTTCCAAAGCCCATGCGAGTATACTTTAACTACTTTTGGTGGCTAATTTAAGAAACAGTTTTATGGGTGTCGTTGAGAAGATATCACTGGAGGTTTGAGGCCGTTAACTACATTTTGAGGACTTCTAAGATTATTATAAACAAAGGAAAACAATGCATGTAAATGTCAGCTTTTAACAATGATTCCATTTTAGTATTCTGCCCCCTTAATACTTGAGTAGGATGTCAATCTTTTTGGTGTGATACAAGTAGTGACTACCATATTCCATGGGAAGCCATTTCCATGTATTGAAGAGAGGCATAAGTTAACACTTCGGTTATTTCTTTCATTGATATTTTACAGTCTAGTATAGACGTTGGTCTACACGTGTAATTTGATTAGGTCAAAACGAGTACAAATTGCATTTCTAATTGTAGCATAATGATGAAGAATGTTTGGTTTGATTTATCTTGAACTTGTATGCTAAATTTTTATCTGGGTGATCATTAAATTATCATTTGGGACCAATTTTGTGATGTGATACATGCAAGGAGTTTACAATAGAATAACAAGAGAATTTATTAAAAGTTAACCATTATAAAATTATGCGTCAAATCAAAGTAAGATGTTATAAATTCGCAGTCTTTTACTTGTTTAGGCAAAGAAATACATGAAGATTAATCAAAACGCTCTTAATCAAATACAAAGGCAAACGTAATGTCATAGCTTATAACACAAATCCGAAATTTAATATTGAGATGTTCACCTTGAGGGTTTACTCTCTCTCTCTCTACAGTTCTAAGGCTTAGCGGATGAAGATCTTCCACACTAGACTTGAAATGACCATGATGTGCCGCCGGTCCAGGAAGGGCCGGCTGGACCGGTCCAGCCTGGACCAGTCCATGTCTATTCCAGGCGGAACAGAGAAGGGGGGGCGGGATCTAGAGGTGGGCCAAGATTGTCTTAATTGATCTTAGGAGGGAAAATTTGAATGTGGGGGACTATTTTAGGAAGTTTATGATTGTCCTTTGTGTTTAATTAGGAGATTGGGGGGGAATTGGTTCCTCATCTTGAATTTGAATGTATTTTTGAGATCTAGGGTTTCTTGCATTGGGCTCTTGGCATTGCCGGAGATTTAGAGAGTTATTCCTTCCTCTCGAATTGAAGAAAATTGTATATTTGCTTGTTTTCTTGAATCTACTAGTGAAATACAATTGCTCTATTGGTTTTCCTACAAGTTTTCTCTCATATTTCCTCTATTTTCCACTGTTTTTGGCTGTTTTCCTGCTGTGAACAGCAGTTTTCCCTGCTGTGGTACTTGATCTTGGGTAGGTTTGCTTGTGCATACAAGTATTTCCTATCAAATTGGTATCAGAGCATCGATTGGGGACCTTAGGCAGCTAAAATCCCTATTTTTCAGCGAGCTTTCGGCTTCCGGAAGTGGGTTTTTGGAGATCCGTTGGGAAGAACGATGGCCGGAAAGAAGGTAAACGTCTTGGAAGATGAAGTCGGACAATTGAAATCCGATTTGGAGGAAAGATTCTTCGACTTTCAAAATCAAATCACCTCCAACAATGAAAGGTTGGAGGGGAAGTTCGCCGTGATGGAAGAAATGATGAAAAAATTACTTGAAATGAAGACCAATCCGACGACATCGGAAGTAAGAGAGACCACCGACGGCCATGACATGGGAGGAAATCCAAACCCTTTGCGGGGAAGAAGAAATTCGGAGGTGGAGATCCTAGAGGGAGAGAACGACATGCCTCCTCTAGAGCCTCTTTCTAAGGAAGAGATGAGTATGGGATATGATAGAAGGGGTGCTGATTTTGGCGGGAGAATAGAGGAATTTCAGCGTCGAGGTGCTGAATTTGAAGGAAGAAGAGAGGAATTTCAGCGTTGAGGTGTTGATGTTGAGAGGAGAAGAGGGGAATACGATGGAGGTTTGGGATACAATCATCGGAGGGACGATCGGGACAATTGGGGAGCGCCTCCTCTGAGAGGAATGGGAGGCTATGGAGGATACCGAGGAAAAGGGGGAGATCCCAAGGTGAGGAAATTGAAGATGCCCGTTTTCGAAGGGGAAGACGGCCATGGCTGGATCTACAAGGTGGAGCGTTACTTTGTTGTCAACGGGTTGAAAGAGGATGAGAAGCTGGGGGGGGGTCGTACAGGATGACTACTACCATCTTACCTTCAAAGGGAGGATCCTCAGGGAGTGTAAAGGAGGCACCAAAGGATAGGACTGGAAGAGTGGGAAATGGGGGACCGTTCAAATGGCTAACTGAGAAGGAGATGCAGGAGAAGAGGTCAAAGGGGTTATGTTTTCGATGTGATGAGAAGTATATGCCCGGACACAGGTGTAAGGACCGAACTCTTCAGGTTTATATTTTTTTTAATTTCAAAGCATCTATAAACCAAGAAACTGTTAGGGACTTCTTCTCTCTAAAATAAATTGTACTTTGATTATTCTCTTGTTTTTAATATTTTCGAAGGTCATTGAAGAATTTGTTGTGCCCTCTACTTCATCTTCAATTTATGAACAGGTTGCATAGGCAGCTCTTGGTCATCTTTTGCAAATGATAATGAATTTTAAAAGAATAAAGAAAGTGACAAATAGAGATATTTGATGAACAATTTTGTGGTTAACTAGTTCCGCCTTCCTATATGCCATGTAACTTATGCATAACCTCACAAGTGTATAGGGGTAATATCACACAAAAATAGAGTATGGAATGGGCTATAATCACATGTCACAATGTTCTTTACAGCATAGGCTTCAACCATGTTTTCCTATGCGGAAATTCCAAATTTGTTTAACTGAAATCTCTATTTCAACAGCTTTGGTATAACAAAACAGATTATTTGCTTATCCTCTAGGCACATAAGTTGAAACGCATTCAGTGTTTTACATAAAAAATAATAAGCTAAAAGTTTGATTGATTGCTTGCATATAAGATGTAAGAAGAATGCACGAGAGGCATGGACCACACTTGGGTGGACTCCCTTGTGACCTAGACATCAAAATATTTAACCTTGTAAATGGGCTATCTACAATGCTAAATAAGGTTAAACCCCTTCCTAGGGCACGCACTAATGGGAGCATTCAGCAGTGAGAACAACCCATTTTCCTTTAATGATGGAAGCAAAATCATGACTATTGCGGTACATAACTTGAAGTCCTAGTTCGACTATATTTCCAGGCCTATCTGTGATATCTAAACAGCAAAGACATAAAACAGAACCCGTCATAATTATGAGCTCGACAGCCAATTACCTACTTTCATGTGAAGAATATAACGAATTTCGAAGATATTTACATGCAGCTATAGTACGTCGTAGATCCATGAATGAATGCATTAAAAGTGATAGACAAAAGACCCACAACTCACTTAACTCCCTTGCAATTAACTCCAGTTAACTTATAGCTTACTCCTAAGTAGCCAGAGTAAGTTGATTGCCTGAGTTCATGCTCATTCTGAACTTTCGAGTTGCAGCAAATATTGTAAATTTACAATTAATCGAAGTTCAATAAGCGTATCGCGGGAATCGACGTAGTTCCTCTCGTCGGAGAAAGAGATCAGGTCATGATTACCAAACTGGGGCAAGGAATTTAAATTGACTAGAAATCTAGATCGAACAAGATACAACCAAGTTAAAAATAGAAAACGAAAGGAACACTACAGCAGGAGGAGAGAGTATACCGTTGGAAGCTGGGGAGGCGGAGGAGGGTAGAGGGAGTGATTTGACGGAGGAAACTGATCCAGAAGAGAAGGCATGTACATGATCCCTGTTCCTTGAAAACCCTTGACTCCATCGAGGGTTTGGATCTCCGGTCCGATACCGCAAACGACGAAGTACTCAAAAATTTGGGACGCCATTGAACCTCCGGTTGGTGGCTGAGTGGGGAGAAAGATCTCTCACCTTCCTCCTCTTCCTCCCGCCTATAAACTGGTCGATGTTATTTCCAGGTCCAGAAAATATTTGATGTAGATACGATCCAACGTCTTTTCCACCTCTAATATTAATATAATCAACGAAGCAATCAATCTCGAAATTCAAAATGGATATGGAAGAAGATGACAGAAAATGGTAGTGAGAGAAAGATCGCCGGTGTCAATCCAGAGGTCGAACACCGGCGAAATATAATTCATCCACGCTCGGCAGTGAAGAAATGGAACCCTCGCACGTGAGGATGGGAGCGCCGTATCCAAAGACAGCGATTGACCGGAAATGTGTTTTTTTTTTTATCTTCACTTGAAATTAGCAGATTTTAATATATTTTAAAAGATAATTTTGACTTTTTTTGTTATTTATTTTATAAAAAAACTGAAATTTTTTAATCAAATTTAAATACTATGTTTTTAATCATATACTGCTTTATCTAAAATTGGGTGTTAATAAAATTTGGTTTTAATTAATTTATATTTAATCACTATTTGAACTAGGTTTGGAATAAGTTCAAATAATGTTCAAACCTATTTCTAAAAAAAGCTTCGAATTAGTTTTGTACTTTATCCCAATTTGCTGTAAATTGGATCTTTTGGAATTTAAAAAAAAAATTAACTTACAATAAAAATGATAAGAATTAAATTAATGAGCATAATCAAAGATTGATATTATTTCAATAATTAGATTAAATTAAAGCGGACCATAAATAAAATTTAGAACATATTAATGCATGGTGTATAAATTTCCTCTATTTTATACATAATATTGACATTGCAAAGATAAAATGTTATAATTGATATAAGATAAATGGGGCATTTACAAGTAAACAAAAAAAGTTTAGCCATCAATACTATAATTAGTACGAGTTGACACTTGAAATATAATACCTTGTATATGAGGTTGGGTCGTTGGGCTTTCCTTTAAAGATGGATTGTCATATAATTCCGATTAACATATTTACAAATTATGCCGACAAGCTGAGGGTGATGACTCTTTATGTATTATTGAAACCCACTTATAATAATGATGTAATAATGATGATATAACGATATAATGAATAATTGATATGACTCACTGATAATAGATGAAATAATGAAAATATTAAACTAAAGTTGTATATCAAATACTAAACTAAAGTGATGACTTTATGTAGATTTGTTTTATTTTGAAAGATATATTTTGTATTTGATATTTGTTCAATGATCAGACGATATGGATCCAAAAAAAAAAATATGATTAAATTTGACATCAAAGCAACTTTAGTAATTTAGAGAATATGGTGAAGTTTATTGATATGATGGCTCAAATGATTAGTAACATATTGGCAAAATAGTCTGACCAGAACTACAAAAAATTAGTAAAAGTAATAAGAAAAAGACTAGTAAGATTATGAAAGCACCTGTTAAAAACACTCCATAATGTGCCAGGTGTGGGAGAAGATATATAAGACTTTTTTATAGGATGTTTGGATAATATTTTAGGTGTGGTGATTTTGAACATATAATAATAAAATGCCCATTACTTGGACATGGGTTGGGACATATTTAGATTGGAAACAGACAGTCAGAACTGGAGAAAGAGATTTCTGAAGTGCATGATGATAATACTAGTATGATTTTATTTTATATTTTTTATGTAAGTTAAGAATTATATAAATCACTGCCACGAAACTGAGCTCTTTGTTCTATATTCACTCTAATGGCGACATGCAGTCCAACGACACGGGATCTTATGCATCGTGGCGCTAAATAAAAAATAATAATTTTTTTATATTTTTCATTTAAATGTCCCTCACCACCATCTTATCTTCCCTCATTTATTTGGCTAGTAAGGGAAAGGAAAAAAAGGAGGATAAGAGAAGAAGGAAGCGAGTAGATAAGAGAAGGTGAGAGAGAAAGAAAAGCTTTTCAGGGTGTTTTGGTTCGTCGCTTGTGTTACTGATTTTATTCTAATTGATATAAGTGATTGAAAGTTCGTAAGGGTTATGAAACCCTAAACTAGCCCGATGCTAATCAAGAGTGGGGTTGAATTGGTAGTTTTAAAAATCCTTAAATAAAAAGAAAAAATCTTTTTGATATTTTTAAATGTTTTAAAACAAAACAATAACCCTTGATGTGAAAGAAAAATAATTTTCACGATAACAATACAATCAAATTTTTTAATCATAGAACAAATCACTGAAAAGTGCGAAAATAAAATGTGGTAAAAGTAATTAAAAAGAATACATCAAATTTTATAGTGGTTTGGTCAAATGTGACCTATGTCCATGCCCTGGAAACCTCCTTTCCAAGTATTGCACTAATCAGTTAGTGTCTCTCCCTTTATCCCCACAACAAGGTAGATAAGTCCTTATAAAACCTTTTCATCAACCCGATGAGGCAGAGTACCTCTAATTCTTTTACTCCCTCTTAGAGTAGACAAATAACTTGAAAATTCTTTTTCACTCTCTTGGTGAAGGCAGAGAACCCGATAATCCTTTTACTCCCTCTTGGAGTAGGAAGAGAACTTTGATCTAATACTGATGAAAATCTCCCAAGAGCCACCAAGGAACAAGAGAAGAAACTTGTAGAAGATAGCCAACACCTCGCTTGGAGCAACTTTGTGAATCCCTCACAACTCTCCCTTACGAGGATCTCTCTCTCTCTCAAGATCACCCTCTTCCTTCTCAAAGTTCTCTTATATATCTCCACCACATCAAATGATTATCTCAAAAGACAATTAGAGAGCTTAAATAGAGAGCCTCCAAAAGAAGCCCTAATTTTTAATTCTGCCACTGCCCAATTTGTCGACCATTATGATTGATTTGTGCAAACCTCATTTAAAGGTTGTTTGGCTTTAATGTTTGACGATTTTATGGTGATGCAACTGGCCGCTCTTTTTGCTCTCACTTTAGTCGGGAAATTTTTTCTTAGGCGTCCGAATTTGGAAGTTATTCTTAAGTTCTTCGTTAACTTGAAACTTTCAGGATCTTTTCATATTGGATTACTGATCCAAGACATGTTGCAATTCAATTGAGCAATGATTTGAACTATAGTCATATTTTTTCAAGGAGATCTTACTATATTCAAATATGATATTACTTAAATGGACACCAGATTTTGATGTTTATGAGAAATCTCCTATTTCCTCTGTGTAGATCTCTTTCCCCAATTTGAGACTTCATTTTTTTAACATGTAAATTTTATTTGTCTTAGCTTCAATTCTTGGTAGACCCTTACAGACGAATCAAGCAACAACATCTATATCTCGTCCGTTTGTGGCCCGTGTTTTAGTTTAGCTAGATATTTCTAAAAAGTATCTTAATGAGACTTTGATTGGGTCTGAATTGAATGGCTATTTTTAGAAAGTTGAATTTGAAAATTTACCCATTTTGTTCTCTCACTGTAAGATTCATGGTCACGATTTGAATGTGTTATAGGCTTCATCCTCATCTTTGGAGGGAGAAAAATTCGTCCAAACGATCCACTTGAATGTTAGGGACATTGGGTATCCCTCTTCTACTTTACGCGTTAAGAATTTGTGTCACATTTATAATGTTTTTTTTCTTGTTTTATTAGAAACTTTTATTTCATCTTCTAAATTAAATGGCACTGCTAGATATTTGGGTTTTAAATATGCTATTTCTAATATTGCTAATAAGATTTGGGTGCTTTGGAAGGATCCAACCCATATTGATGTTATTGGAGATTTCACTCAAGTTTTGCATTATAATATTGAGGTTTTAAATTTATATAGCTATGCTTCTTTTGTTTATACTGCTTCTTTTCGTTACAAAAGAAAAGTGTTAAGGGAGAAACTTATCCACTTTTATAGTAATTGTAATAGGCCTTGGCTTGTTTGTGGGGATTTTAATACTATCTCTAATCCTTCTGAACGTATAGGAGGCTCTTCTCTTATCAATCATTCTATGGAAAATTTTAATAGAATGATTATGGATTATAATTTATTAGATATTGGCTTTTTTGGGAATAAATTCACTTGGAACTGTTATCATTTATTGCAAGGATGGATCGGGTGTTGATTAATGATTGATGGCTTAACTCTTTTAAATAGATATTAACTCTCCTTCTCAATTTAGATTTCAATACATGTGGTTACTTCATGATTCTTTTCTAGCTTTGGTTCAGGAAAATTGATAAGCCCCTTTGTTGAGTCTAGTGAATAGGTTGTTAAAACTAAGTTAATATCCCACGGCTATCAAGAGGGAGGGGGTGAATTGGTAGTTAAAAATTATCTCTCTTTCAGATGAGTTGAAACGAAAATAAATTTTAATGAATTTTTATAAAAAGTTTTTCAACCACAACTTTTTAAACAGTAAAATGCGAAAAATAATAAAAAAAATAAACGACACAAGATTTATAGTGGTTCGGTCTAAACCAGACCTACATCCACTTCCCAGAGGCACCCTCTGAGTATTGCACTAATACCGATAGTGTCTCTCCTTTTGCACCTACAGCAAGGCGGAGAAGCCTTTACAAACACTCTTTCCACCACTACCCGGTGCGGCAGAGAACCGTCATCCTTTTACACTATCCCCAGTGTTGGCAGAGAACC